CGACACCAGTTCACGTTTACAAACGTAGCTACACAGCCGCCACACCTCTTTTTATTGTTTGACCGATCCTGAAGACAAATTTAAAAATCACGTAGTGATACTAGGCAGTCGTCCTGTAAATCGGAAGGAGGAACAAGTGCCGATGGACTGGAAGAAGGACACCTCACCAAGATTCCAAAGAAAGGAGATCTAAGCATATGTGAAAACTACAGAGGCAATAAACTACAGTCAGTACAAGGAAAAGTCTTAAACAGAGTGTTACTGAACCGGATAAAAAAGACTCAGTAGATGCCCAACTTTGAGATCAACAAGCTGGATTCCGTAAGGATGGGTTTGCACAGATCAAATTGCAACAATGCGGATCATCGTCGAAGAACCGATTGAGTGGAACTCGTCACTCTACATCAACTTCATTGACTATGAAAAGGCGTTTGACATTGTAGATAGGAGGACATTATGGAAACTTCTTCGACACTACGGAGTTCCTGAGAAGATTGTCAACATTATCCGGAACTCATACGATGGACTACAGTGCAAAGTAGTGCATGGAGGACAGCTGACTGACGCATTCCAAGTAAGGAATGGAGTCAGATAAGGCTGTCTACACTCTCTCCCTTCCTCTTTCTTCTAGTAGTCGACTGGACTATGAAAACCTCGAGGGAAAACATGGCATACAATGGACAGCTCAGAACCAATTAGACGATTTGTACTTCGCAGATGACCTAGCCCTCCTATCCAATACACACGAACAAATGCAGATAAATACAGCCAGTGTAGCAGCAGTCTTTGCATCAGTAGGAATCAACATACACAAAGGGAAAACCAAGATTTTCAAACTCAACATGGAGAACAGCAATCCAGTCACATTTGATGGCGAATCTCTTGAAGACGTAGAATCCTTTACATACCTGGGAAGTATCATCGATGGACAAGGAGGTTCAGATGCAGACATAAAGGCAAGGACTGGCAAAGCTAGAGCGGCATTCCTTCAACTGAAGAACATATGGAACTCAAAGCAACTTTCAACCAATATCAAAGTCACAATCTTCAATACCAACGTCACGGCAGTTCTACTGTACGGAGCTGAAAATTGGAGAACTACAACAACCACCATCAAGAAGGTACAGGTATTTATCAATAGCTGTCTACGCATGATACTCAACATCCATTTGCCGGATACCATCAGCAACAGCCTTCTGTGGGAGAGAACAAACAGACCTCCAGCTGAAAAGGAAATTAGGAAAAGTCGTTGGAAGTGGAACGGACATATATTGTGGAAATCATCAAACTGCATCACGAGGCAAGCCTTAACTTGAAATCCTGAAAGGAAAACAAAAAAGTGGAAAGGTAAAGAACATACTGACTCAGGAATTGTAAGCAGACATGAAAAGAAAGAATAGAAACTACAAATAACTAGAAAGGATTGCTCGGAACGGGGTTGGATGGAGAGTGTTAGTGGTTAGACTATACTTCTCCAAAGGGGGGAGTTAACAGGCATGAATAATATATATGACACTTTGATGGAATATGCATCAGTGTGTATATATAAGAAATAAATAGGTTGATTAAACTGAATCCTTAAATTTTATCATTACACTACCAAGAAACTTATTAATATGTACGTCAAAGTATGACTGTAACCAAATTCAGATTATCTAAAAGAAGCAGACGATGGAAATAGATAGAATATACATCACGCAAATCATCAAACTGCACCACAAGGCAAGCCGTTACTTGGAATCCTGAAGGGAAGAGGAAAAGTGGAAGGACAAAGAACACATTACGTCGGGAAATAGAATCAGATATGAAAAGGATGAATAGCAACCGGAAAGGGCTGGGTTTTCGAGTACATTGAGGTTGTGATCCTACTTACTAAAGCAAACATCTGAGTAGTTTTGGATAAGCACAGTAAATATTTGATTTGTCTGTCGGACATAAATTTTTTTGATAATTTTGAGTTTAATTATTACCCTGTTGAAGACCGGACATGTTAGCTGGACCGAATGTTGGAATCATTTAAATCACAATCACTGAGATTATTTCAATCATGATTTTTGTATATAATGTCTTCTGTATTCTCAGTGCTCGATACCTGTCGATCTATTTGTTCAAATATTGATGAATGTTCATATAAATGTAGGCCTTATTGATTGTCAGTTGGATAGCACTTCAGATTCTCGTGCTGTTTGTCAACTAGTCAAGACAATTTTAGAGGTGGACCACACAGCCAATTTCTTGGTTGATATTCCTAAAAATACCTCGGCTGTTCAGCGTTTTCGACTGTGATGTTGGATCCTTTTTATTTTCGTTGACAAGAGTCCAGTCGCATGCAGAATTTTTGAGGACCACGGTTGCATTCAGGTAGCCTGTTCTGTGAAATACAAGTTTGTAGAGAAAGTCCAACACCGTCGATTCAATGGTGAGGCTGAGTTTCATTACAACCTCGTAGAATTATGTTCTACTATGATATTGTTACTACTCTAACAATAGACTCTATCCTAAAATTTGTAGATCTGTCATGATGTGACCGCCTAATCTATAAGATCTTGCGTGAAAATCACATCATTGTCTACGCCAACCTATCACGTCGTTATAATCACCAGTATATGGTGGAGAACAAACTGAGAACCATAAGTTTTGGTCTATCTTGGCAACAGTAACATGATTGGCAGACTAAAAAATCGATATTTATAATTAATAAGGCCATCAGTGATGATAAAACCCCTAATTTAGAGCAGTTTTCTAATTTTTACATATTTTAGATTCGAAGTACAAAAGCTTCATATTGATTCGCCTTTTATGATCACTCATTGACAAAGTCGTCCTTCAAATCTCAAAGGGATAGTATAGTTTTTACAATTTGTCTTCTCATCAACAACTTCCCAATGAAAGCACAAATAAAAGTAACCATCTATATCACTACAAATTTTTCGTTTGTAGTGAAAACAATCCGGTTGTCCTCAAAGTACATATAGTGCCGTCGTATGCAGTATCCAATTAAATAGGTATGGTATTGCTCGTCCATGCTGGCGTTGTCTTCCACAAAACGTCTTTATTTTCATATTAAATATTCCATTTTACCCCAAACACAAATGTTCAATCGGAAGGCCTAAACGGCATTTTGCTGACATCACGATAGGAAGAGTCAATATAAACAACTGTATGATCTCTACGCAAAATCTCGCGAACCACAGTATATCGGACATGGTATGTGCTACAAACAGAGCTACAACTCCGGACATGTTAACCGAAAGGATGAAAAAGAACATGATCGGATAAGGCGAGCGGTATCAACACTTCAGCTACAAAGATATATTGTTTCGCTCGAAATCAACCCTGCCATCGACAAGCAAGGGAATGAGTTTTGCCGAAGTTGTATGCGCCAAGGTAGATGTGAAATCCCCCTAAAATTTTTGATGTGACGAAATACAGCCTGACTGAACCTTTACAGATGCCTAGATTCGTCGCAATAACCAATGTTAGAAACTATCAAACTAATGAAAAGCTAATAATTCTGGAAGGTTCCTTACTTCCTCGATAGTGAAATCAATAAAAAAATGTATTTCATCCCAAATGGTGAGATTAACCTTACGCGAAAAAAACTGAGTACAGAGAGCATCAATAACTACGGGAAAAAAAACGCTGAGAAAAAAGACTTTTGAATTCCACAACAACTTCCTGATTAGGAAGTAAAAATATTCATCCGAACAAAATATGTTCTCTTGTAGAGAACCTCAAATAGATGGTTCACCACATATGTATTACAGCATTCTTTCTTCCGACAGATCATTTATGAGATTCAATACCTTAGATCCGAGAAAACGCTAAGTTAAGAAAGAACCTAAAGGGGCTGGTATGAAAACACATGCACGAATTTTCGTGATTAAAGTCTGTAAGCTCCGAAGTTCTTCACTAGAAGCAATACTGACAACACTTCATAGTAGGTCCTTCAAAAGAAGGGTTCAAATTTTACGTAGAATCAGTAATGAATGCAGGATGATGTACCAGATGCTACACATCGATCACTTCCTAAATTAATAGCTAATGTCAACCAGGTTGAGATCCTCACGGAAGTATATTCCTGATTAATAAAATTGTATGTTTCCCTTGTTAATTTTTTTTTCATCTAGAGAAAAGGTAACCTTAAAGAGGCGGCTTTTCTGATTACTTTCAGAATGTACCTTTTCTCCTGTTCTATAAAGCCCACAGATGCTCACTCCTGAAACTGTTTCCAAGTGCTTATTAAGGACTTAATGAGCTGAGGTCGTGCTTAAATCTAGTCTTTGGTTCCTTTTCGAATGATTCTCTTAACTTAGTATTTCCTCCCTCACTCCAAAAGGATAAGGACACTCTTGAGCGTATCCAAAAACGAGCCACGAAATCATTTCGGGGACTTAGATTCAAGCCTTACGAAGACCGCTTCCATTCACTAAACTTTTACTCATTAGAGTACAGGCGTCTTAGATGTGACCTTTTAATGGATTACAGCATCTTAATTACTTCTGGAAATCCTCTTAAACATCTATTAAGCTTAGCTAAAACACAAACCCAGAAACTGGAGACACAAAACAGCAGAACAGACTATAGACACAATTCCTACTTCTTGAGAGCTGTCAAATATTGGAATACGCTGCAGCCGAACTAGTCAAAGTGATTTCTCAGGAGTCCTTTAAGAAGAAACTTGATCTATTCTTAAGAACAAAGGATGGTATCTTAGTATGATTTATCAATTTATTTTTCCTCTTTTATCGTTAATATACCTAGGCTTCTGTCTGGAGGTATTGGTGATCCACTGCTACTATACACAGAAGCCTGTTATGCGAAAGCTTCCATTCCGTCCAAAACCATTTGTCCTTTCTAAATAACGTAAGTGAAACGACAGAAATTACGAAGTAAAGATAGTAACGTCGTAAAAATATTTTCTGACCAATTAAATTTATAAAAACTAGTGTATAATGATCCATATTGAACTTGTTTTAATCTACACTATTAAGGTTACTAGCTACGGTGTCTTTTCAACTTTATTTACTGCAACGTTGATATGGCTGTTTAGAATTTTCACACTATCTGCTTTTAGTTCCTTTTTCCAGACTTTATAAACTCAAAACGTGTGTTATCGCTTTCCATTGTACATTATTTTATTAATTAAATTTGGATGGATAATGTGCTCCTGCTGTGTCGCAAGCTCATTTTTTCGTTGTTCTTTTCTTTTTTCAGCTCCCATTACTCACACTACTTTGCATACAATGCTAATACACAAAGCACCCATTAGTTGAACTCAAACTACTGCAATTGGAAACAGCCGTATTTAAAAGATGTTCGATCTAACAATTACTGATTGATTAGCTGAACAAGTTCATATAGTCGGTCGATCACAACTACTTGATAGTTTTTCAACCTAGTAATTTATTCGTATCTCATCTGAAGATTTGCTTTTGTGAGAATTCCAGCTACTCGTTTGAGCTTCACATTTGTAGGGTTGTAATGCAACCGTTAGAAGAAACGGACAACGTAAAAGTCGCCGTGCGGTGCCGGCCAATGGATAAGAAAGAAATTGCGATGAACTGTCAGTCTGTGATTTCGGTACCTGTTTGTTATTCATGTAAAATTATGTCATTATAGGTGAGTGAACTAGATGGATGTGTGACATTAAGGCGCACAAGTTCGTGTGATGACCCTCCAAAGCAATTCACTTTCGATCTTGTTTTCGGCTGTGGCAGCAAACAAACTGATATTTACAACATGGTAGCTAGACCAATTGTTGATAAAGTTTTAGAAGGATATAATGGTACTTTTTCAAATATTAGTCATTAGATCTGTTTTTGACATCTATAGGAACTATATTTGCTTATGGACAAACAGGTACTGGAAAAACATTTACAATGGAAGGGATCAGGTCCGAGCCAGAACTGAGAGGTATTATTCCAAATTCATTTGCCCATATATTTGGGGCAATCGCGAAAGCTGATGCGAATACGAGATTTCTGGTTCGTGTTTCATATCTGGAGATATATAATGAAGAGGTACTGTATATTTTTCATGTCCAACTTCAATTTGTTCAATTACTGTATCTTTTATTTTAACAGTAGATGAATGATTGGTTTTGTTTCATTAACTTATATTTGGTGTTAACTTTACGAGGAATCGCTCTGTAAATTTTATGATCAAGCTTTGGTATTTTGAGTTTGAGAGCATATTTTAAATACTCTATCAGTCGTTTTGTTGAAAGCTTCCATGGCATTTTAATGTTTCGTGAATAATTATTTCTTCAGTAGTGCACAGCAAGTTGGTTGATGCACATTATCCTTTGCAGTTTTTATTTTTGTAAAAATCTTACTTTTGGTTAAACTTCCATCAGTTAAACTGATATATTATGTTCACATAGAACGTTCCACTCTCTTACCACTTTATGGGGGCGTCAGAACCAAACCTCCGTTTGTGCGACCGTAGTGTTTAAATCTTAGTGTGACACCTTGAGAAATGGTTTTTTATAAAATAAGTAGAAAAATATGCCGCGCTAGGTCCTAAGTCAATAACCATAATATGAGACCGTACTGTGAGATCTCGTTCTATGTCCAGATAAGAGAAATAGCTATTTTAGTTAATTCCCGTTTTAGTCGTTAAAATTTCCTGTCTCAAACCAAGTATCTACCCGTAAAGGTGCTACAGATATTCAGAGTTTAACAACGCTTTTACACATAACACCAACACAGTCATATCAGAGGTTAGAAATAAAGGGGTCCAAAGATATATTTGAAAGGCTATCGATAGGTTGAGAAGCGTTTGGTCTCAAATGGCTAACAGTTACAAGGGATCCGTAGTGCGATGTGCCCACTCGAGATCTGGAGCGGATATGTGACCAAGTACCTTCAGAAATGTGTCTCCAGTAAAACTAATAGGTCAGCATCAATGTCAAAAACCTGGGAACTATTTATTTTAGGTATTTATTTACTACAACACTGGTTTGACACCCACAAGAGTATTAGTATCTTTGGTGAAACAGGTCGCATGTTCGGATGAAATTTTACGCATAAATTCTTACTTAGGGAGGAGGATACCCTAAAATGTATGAAAGCATGCAGAATACTGTAACAGTTGTTGAATTGTATTGCATATTCATTTTGAAGTCAAGCTCTACAACCTTTGTTGAAACCTTTTGTTCAAGAACTTGTGTCAGTGTGGTCACATCGATGATTTACTAGTGAATGTCGCTTTAACTAATGTCCACTAATGAACGATTGCTAGAATTAATTTATTAGCACCAACTCTGACTTCAATCTTAAAACTACCTACTGTTTTGTACGATTATAGATTATTAACAAACAAGATTGCAGAAGATTTACATAGTACTAACAGTTTATTGACGTGAGCAATATACTCCGCTGGGATTTACTTCTTACAGGTTTTTGTCCATCTACCATCCCATGAACTCTCACTCTCTACTATCCACGAAAGATAATGTTTCTAAATTAATCTTTCATCTTGAGTTTAAGAGGTTTCTCCGTAAACCCTACATTAAAAATGCTCTATCAAATCCTTTCAAAAGTCTGTGAATGTTATCTCAGCAAAAAGGCAAATAAATTTGGTCACCACCCAGCCCCTCTCACAATAAGAACGTTTGTCAGGCAAAAACAGCCATTAGTAGGACCATTTTGCGCTTCTATCGACAAATTTTGTTACTATGTTACCATTCAGCCTAGTCTGGACTACTTTTCTAAGATCAATGCTAATATACGAGTTGAGCTGACAGATCGATAGTCACACCTAGACTGTCCATTCCCATCCTTGAGGATAGGGCTAAGTAGAATATCCTTTTAGTATTTCACTGGAAATGCAACAAATAATTTCAGAAGTAGTTTAAAAGTAATGCTTGTGAGGAACACAACGCCCGAGTGTTATTCACCAGTGTAGTGACATTTACACTCCACATTAAGCAAGGCCACATGGTAGGCTATATATATATATATATATATATATAATATTCTGATTTCGGTAACCAAGCTTTTTGTACAATATCCCTTCGTGTAGTTGAGCAGATTCAGCACTAACCGCGTGACTGATGTGCGCCAGAAGACATTAAAAGTTGTAATTGCTTACAACATAGCGTTTTTTCATCTATTGGTTGATATTTTTTACTATTCTTAAGGCTTATTTTGGCGTTATTTATATCTTAGGCATTAGGAAACGTGAATTAAAAGCGAATAAATATGGTATTTTAGAAAATATTGTATTGCTGTGTATTTCAATAGAAACCCTCAAGCCTTTGCTTTTTTACGAAAATTTCATTTCTTCTATACTTTGAGAACAGTATTTCTCTTCTACCTCTGTCCACTGTTCCTCGTTACAGGTTTATCCAAAAATTCGTTGTTAACTGAAGTATTATTTAAAGCTTTCAATTTTTCTTCATCTGAATCTTCTCATCATATAGATTTTATCAAGAATTTCCAATTAATAACGCTTACACTAAGAAAATTCGAAATTAAGTAAAATTTTGTGATTCTGTCTATTTTTCTTTGGTTAACTCCTAATTACTGATCACACATTTACATATCAAAAAGATAACTTTCCTTTTTTCTTTTACATCAGAGATTTACTTCATAGATTACATGGTTTTACTAAATTGTCTGCAAACCTCAAGCTTATTTGCTTTGTTTTCTATTACAACAAAAGTGTTTTGTCTTCATCGACGTTGAGAATAAAGTTTTCAAATCACTTAACCAATTAACTACCTGTTGATTAGACTGAAAAATATCGAATATAATAAAAATTATGGTCAAGTGATTTCATTGCTACCTCTTGTTTATAGATTTGTTCATTAATGTAGAACATTATAATCGTTAAGAAGTTTAATAACGGTTCACTCAAGACGTATCTAAAAGTTTATTCATCCATAGCTTCCGCTGATATGTTTTTTCGTATATGTGGCTACTGGTATTGATAAAAAAGAACGCAATTTGATTAAAACACCATAAATTGTTATTTTTGTTTGTGATGCTGATACCTGTAATTTGTTTAATTGTAAACCAATTAGCAAAGTTATGATAAAGAGTACTTAAAGTGACAACTTACATAAAATCATAATCTCATTTATATCTTGAAATGATTTTACCGACACTACCAGTTTTGACAAGACAAGAATTTCCTCAGACTCACTGAATAATCAAATCTAGGATTCGGCACTAAACTGAATGAAACTCAATATCTGATTTGGGCCACTTGATTTTTCAGAATCCAAACAGTCACCTACAATTGTGCATTCTGATTATGTTACCTTTATTAACTTATTTTCCTATGTAAATATCTATTCACAAACAAAACATTCTTTAAACATTGGTATTGATTACATATTAATATATATAGTCTATCGGTTATTACAAACATTGTTCTATCCATGTTAAGGATGTTTTTTGATGATTAACCGAATGTCAATCTGTAGCTGTTAAACTGGAGAAAATATTTGTCGAGATAAATACTTTATTTATAAAAGTGTGTATAACACTAGTCTTTTAATTTACTTCATAGGTTAGAGATCTTCTTGGAAAAGATCAATTTGCACGTTTGGATGTTAAGGAGAGACCAGATATTGGTGTGTATGTTAAAAACCTATCTTCGTTTGTTGTACACTCCCCAAATGAAATGGATAAATTGATGTCATTCGGAAACAAAAATCGTAAGATTTTATCACAATTTTATTAAAAGTATGGGTAACCAAGACATTTAATTTCCTGATGGGAAACTTTACTGCTATACCATATATAAGAAAAGATGGATGGTGGCTAGCACTTAAATCCAGAACGCGCATTTCGTCCCACTTTGGATTCGTTGGTCTAATGTACCTGCACCACAGAGTTGATGTTCACTCCGAGACTCGAACCCAGTACTGTTCGCCTCAAACTCCATCGCGTTATCCACTTAGCTACTGAGTCTAGATAGTTACTCGCTTGTGAAATGAGGTGAATCTTAATTCATCCGTGCATTGGTTGTTTGAATCTTCCTATTGATGTTTAGGACTGTAATTGATCAGTCTCTTATTGACATATGTGCATCCTGTGCGGATTACCTCAATAATGTCTTAAGTCACAAGCATTATGAACAAATATGCTTGTAACTTAAGGAAATAATCGAGACAATACGCACAGGATGCACATATGTCAATTAGAGACTGATCAATTGCAGTCCTAAACATCACTGGAAAGATCCAAACAAACAATACAAATAAATATATCATATATATCTAATAAAATATGTTTAATCGAGCATGGTCAATTTTTTTATCACTTTTTTTCTCAGACTTACTTATGCATTATTGAACCATTGAGTAATTAGTGTTGAAGTTAAAAAGAGGTTTACAGTGAATAAAAATTGATCGAGAAAATCAACAGCGTAAACCAACTGTCTGTTTGAGCACATTATATTATAATAAATAAGAACCGATTGAGACGAGCAAATTATAAGGATGATTCTATCGCTTTCTAAATGCTGTTTCGGAATATGTTCATCTATGCGGACCCACTTCTATTGCATAGCCTCGTTATTGTCTTATGTACGAGTTCCATATGGCGACAGGGAAATTTACGAATTATTTCACATGTCGTTCAATATTCCAAATAGTTGATCGGAGGCAGAAGTACATACTTGTAACTTTGTTGAATAAACTAGACGTCTAATATAAATCAAACTCACCGACTTATTTACAATAATTCGACATTTTAAATTATGCTCATAATCTTGGAATTATTCATTTTGTTTTTTATTTTATACTCATTGAACAACTTGACTTATCAAATTTTTACCGAAAACTTTTCCAGCGGTAGACTTTATGAAAATGAGACATGTTTATGACAAATCGTAAATAAGTTAAAAAAAATACAGTTCTTTCTAAGTATTCACAGGTCAGACAAATAATATAATGCATGAATGCAGTATAAGATATCGGTATGGTTATAAAAACTTATTCGTTAAACACTGAAATTCAAGCGATGTGCTTCAGTTTAATTGATATCCCTAACGCCTTCACTTATCTTGACATTGTGTTACTTTACGTGACATGTTCAATTCTGCCCGTTCATCAGATAAAACTCATTATACTGGAGTTCTTCAACCTTCTTTGATTTACTGAATTCCTTATTATATTATTTTTGTTTGTTACTCTCTAAAGGTGTCACTGGTGCAACTAATATGAACGAGCATAGTTCACGTTCACATGCAATTTATACAATAACAATTGAATGTAGCGAACATTCGGAGAAGAATAAAACATTACTTCGTCAAGGGAAATTACACTTAGTTGATTTGGCTGTAAGTAGAGTTTTAAAGAGATTAGTTTAATTTTTGACAATAAACTGGTTGTATACGCAGATAATGTTTTGTTGTACAACAATAAACAATCAAATCAATTTGAAATATATGTAATAACTTCCTGTTTCATCTGTTTGAAGAGCCGTACTTTACCTAGTCAATAAACAGCGATCAAAGATATAGGGTACATTGCTCACATGTATAAATCCTACCTAAATTACTTGTTAATACCTATCTTATTCATTAACTTTTACTATTTCATAAAGAATTGTCTGTTACAAATATTTGATGATGGTAGCATTCGCGTAATCGATGAAATTTTTTGAATATAACAAGTAAATTATTACAATGTATTATGTCCTCAGCTTGTGTGATTATCGTAAAATGCGATTACCAATTTAGATACGCTGACTTCTACGATCAAAGTAATGACACATACCTCAGTACGGGCAGCCTAAAGTTCTGATTGGTCATTTTTCCACCTAGCTCTGCCTGTTAAGTCTAGAACGCCGATCTCAGCCTCCACTATATGAATCATATATTTCAGACATACGTGATCTACATACAAGCAAAATTAGACCACATCACACCATAAAATAGAAAGTAAGATTTGTACAAGATCAAGCCAAAAGTGGCTGTAATTATGAAAAACCATGACTAATAGATTGAGAATAACCAATAGGTCAGTTAAGAGCTTATAATAAGAGGAATATAAATATATATAGTTTGGTTACTTAACAATTATACACTAAGAATAAATGTATAGTATCAGTCCATAAGTAGATCTCAAGAATTATCATCCATTATTCTTGTTGGGATATAACACAATGCATGTAAATTAACGAATCACTTAACGTGAGGATGCAAGTAATCATTCAACAAAAAAACCTGGGAGAAATGCCAAATCAAGATTTAGAAAATGTTGGTGAAATTATTTCTGATTTAATGACTATAGTGAGCAATAATTCATTCTTTTTAATTTCTTGAAACACCCTGCTTGAATGAATATCAATGAAGGACAAAATGACATATAAGCACTCTCAGTCGTAGGTTTTTAGAAAACATTTTTTTTGCCTCATTTTTGTACCTCATATAACAGATTTTTGTATACCGCAAATGATTAAATTAACACTTATTCACCAGAACGTATAAGAGTCTAGGGACCATGTCTATAATTGTTTAGATATGTACAGAGATCTGTTGTTTGGATGACTGAACATACCTAAAGGTGAACTTAGTTATGAGTTACTGCCAAATCTATCCTTTCCTTTTTTCACACTACCTAGTAGTGAAGATTAAACGACGTTAAGCAATAACATCATTTTATAAAATTATTTTATACTATATTGAGCTAAGATTACTGTGAGTTTAATGACAAAATGCATCGACTATAAAGCTAAGCAACTTCAAGTCCCAAGAACGTTGAAAAAGATATCAACTCTGAAATCTTTCCGCATAAATGTTTTAAGTGAAAACAAATATATTTTCGAAGACTGATTAAACTATGTTAGTTCCGCAAGTATTTCAAAACATTAGTTCAGTCAATATATTTATGCTTATGAATCTTAAGTTTCAATGTATATAATAATCGATTCAATTTATTTAATCATTTTGCTAGGAAAATAATTTTTATAGACAATCATATGTTGGAATACATAACATTTCTCATTAGGTATAGTGAAAAGTAGTGATCATAATGATTACCCCTATTATTATTACTATTAAGACAACAACCTTACTCTTTAAACATATATTCTGACTCTTTGTATACAACATTTTAGGGATCTGAAAGACAAGCAAAAACTGGTGCAACTGGGAAACGTTTACAAGAAGCGAATAAGATAAATTTATCGTTAACTACATTGGGTAATGTAATTTCTGCATTGGTCGATGGTAAATCAACACACATACCATATCGTAATTCCAAATTAACCCGACTATTACAAGATTCACTAGGTGGAAACTCTAAAACTGCTATGGTAAAATCATTTGTAAAATATCTTTACTCTTTATATGTATTCATTCATTTTTACTTGAGTCAATAATAATTATTAAAATACTTAAATGGTTTTAGTGACAGTAGTTTTTGAAATAGTTGTTAAGATAAATTCGTTCGTTTATGTGTTGGAGTTATATAGGGGTTTTAATTCTCTTCATGAAAATCTATGTGCGAACATATCAGAAAGGTAAACACATGTCTAAACAAACACACTAATTAACTTATTATTAGGTGTCTGAAGCAATTTCGATGAGGGTGGTGCTAATAAATGTTAATAATCATGTGATTAATATAATCAAACCAATAAAATATAGCTAAATCAAGAGATTTGTAGTATAACTCCATGGTAATATTAAACAATAATTATCCAATTCTAGATAAATTTTGACATAATTTATAATTGTCGAGCTTAATTATTAAGATGACTAATTATATATGCAGAATGAAGACTTTTTTGAATATACAGATCACTTTTTTTCGAAACAATCTAATTCAAACTGATACATTGTTATAATTCAGCCCAAGCGATTCTGGGATCTGGACAAGCATACTGCATTTAGACTATTGAGCTGGAATCAAATATGTTATACACCTATCATCCAGTGGCTTGCTGTTGAACCTAACCGATTTACAGGTCCTTACTAGAACTTCACCTCGAAACTAGTCATTCAAAACTATCTGAGAAGTCTTAAATTATTACAGTACTTCCAAAGCAACTATCTATTTCCATAAGATATAAATATTGATAATTATTAATAATGCGATAATATCATTTTACACCTTTTCGCGACAATTTTAAACTTCAGATAGCAAATATATCACCAGCCGATTATAATTTTGATGAGTCATTGAGTACATTAAGATATGCGAATCGGGCAAAAAATATAAAGAATAAAGCGAAGATAAATGAAGATCCAAAAGATGCAATGCTACGTCAATTCCAAAAAGAAATCGAACAACTCCGTAAGCAGTTGGAAGAAGGTAAATAAAAAGAAAGATTTACAAATAGAGAAACAAATTTTTCCCTCCATAATAATACATTAACATCTAATTAATCCTTAAACACATTGTCCCGAAATTTTTGTTGTTCACACCTGACATGTCACTTCGTTGTGTGACATTGTTCTAAACATAAATCTTCAATAAAGTAAGTGGTAAATTTCTTAAATAGAAAAGTACTTGAATAACGATCATAGAGGACTATGATTTGGGAAACGAAGTGAAATAACGGTTCGTACATTGAATAAAGTATTTGACTAATATGTTTACATCTTGTGTATTTCTTAGGATTTTCAATAAAATATACATGAAGATATTCGTAATGAGAAATGTGTTTTACCACCACAATATTCAAATAACATGCGCATCACTTAGTAAAGTGTTCACTTGTGATTGTATTTCTCTAATATATCGTATATATAAGAATCCGACTTGCTGTTAGAAGAAATTCAATTATAAAGTTGCTATCAATTTAGGTGTTGTGGAGATTGTCAAGTTTTTGATTGAGATCATGAACCGATTGATGTTAGACCACCATTGAAAACCTGGAAGCACTGGACGGCTGTTTCGTCCTATTGTGGGACTCTTCAGAAGTGCGCATCCACGATCCCGCGAGTGAGATTTGAACCCATGGCCTTCAGTCTCGCACGCGAACGCTTAACCTACTCGACTTCTGAGCTGGCATCGTGGATGCGCACTGCTGAGGAGTCCCACGATAGGACGAAACGGCCATCCAGTGCTTCCAGGTTTTCAACCGGTTCATGATCTCAATATAAAGTTGCTCTTGTGATTAGTACTTTCCAGCAACCTCTGCTCATAGATGACCTTAGATTTCTCTGGATTTTACCATGGGAGCTAATTATGAAGTAACATAGATTGTTTTATTACAAAACCTGTAAACGAAACACGTTATTCATTCAACTTATACCAACCCTTCCTTAATCAAACAATTAAAAACAACCACCTATTATAAGTTGGTGGCAATCTGGTCAATTAATGAACGAAAATTCTAAACTACACTATTATTTTAAAGCTCTAAACTGAATTCAAGGAGTTTATGAAAGTATATCAAAAGCTAATTCAGTGAAACAAAGATTTCAATTTACTAAATAATCCAAGTATATAATCCTACTTTAATAAGAAGTCAGAAAAGGAGTATGTGGATGTTTTTTCCCATTTTTACAAAAATAACTTACTTTTCAAGGTGGCATACCTTCAGACCCAAAAAATGCGGAAGAACAAAATAGTGATGATGATAATGATGGAAATGGTACAAGTGATCACAATGACCAAGAAAACAGATCGAAGAAGTCAAAAGGAAATACAGTAAAACTGAGTAAACAAAAAATGGCTGAAATTCAACGTATGATTGAAGCTGACAGACGTAAGTTAGAAGAAGAGAAGGATATGGCTATCGAGGAACGAAACCGTATTCAGGTAAATTAAAAATAACTCTGTCTTTCAGGTGACCTTGAATCACTTTTTGAATACGTTTATGATATTTTTGTGTTTATTCATATTAATGTAGGTTGCGAATATGAAACCGTAGTAATTTATTCAAGATCACAAATATGTTTAACAAGTCCAAATATACACGAAACCAGTCAAGGACTTATTTCTGTTTTTTTCCCATTACCTAACATATCAAGTACAGTACACTGTGATGTCAAGTCACTTAGACTAATAGTCACATTGCAACGGAATCGACAGAACTCTATTGGTATCATGGATCATACAACATAAAAGTCCTTATGGATAGGACCTAATGTTTTGATATTGAAGATGAGTTCAACAGCAATTGATTAGATCTTTATAGTATAAAGGTTCAAGACTTTGTCTTGGATAAATAAATGATTTCACACATAATAACAATTACTCCACCTAAAATTATAAAAACACTTTTCTTCTTGAACTAGTGCAAAATCATGAATACCTAAACCAGCCGAATTCCATCTTCATCATAAATAATCAGAAATTTAATAAGACAAAAAGCATCCAAAGATTTGAGAAAATGAACCTCACACTTTAAGTCGATAAAGTAGATCATACTTCATTCAAAACACTATAACCGAATGAGCACCACAACCTATTCCCCTGTGTGACTAGAGAAATAGATTTATATAAAAATAATATTTCACTCTAATGTGGTATAAAATTTATTATTTGATCTGGTTAAACACATTTACAGGAAACATTATTACACATAACAGTGAATTAAAGTAAATCAGTTGTATCTACATTAGAATAACTTAAACTTGCATTCAGCAGTCATTGGCAAATTAAATCCTAAGTTGTTAATTTGTCAGCATGTTTAAAGACTGTAAATGATTGGTCGCTGTTAACTCTGCAAAAGAAAACAAATTTTATCACTTAAAATGACATAGAGTGCTACTCAGTGAGAAATCATATTAAACCAGCAAAGCGATTTTATTGGACAGTTATTTTGTTCCAGTAAGGGACATCTCAGCAATAAACATACTACCCCAGGACCTTCAGAATTACTAGTGAGCAGCATTACTTTCGGACCACTAAGTCAGGACCCGGTGATCTACAGTTCATACCTCGTTTAATTTGTGATATCAAACAACTATCGCTGATATCCATTCAACCTCCAACGAGGTGGTACTTGACTGGTCACGAGGGACCAAAAACAAAACAGGAAAGTATAAGACTTCTCAAGTTATAACTGTTTTGTTTCAAGAAAGCGGAACCGTGGAATTACTAAAACTTGAGAATTCCAAATCGATATCACCTAACATATTGCTAGTCGGACCAGTAACCAATTTTACGAATTTACACGACCAATTAACGACAACCAAAGCCTTAACGCTTATTGGTCGTCGAACCCCTTTCTAATCCAGTGGCCAGTCAGAAGATGATGATCATGTTTGAGAACTCACGCAATAGTATACTGAGAATTCCTAATCATACGGCACTTTAAATAAGAAATCACTATAAGTGGTAGAAGAAAATATTACGTAATCAATCGGCAATAATTAAGGAATTGTAAAATATCTAACAACAATCAAAAGGTCCACTGTACGTCAACAATAAGGAAAACATAGAAATGTAACAATATATTAATCTACTAATACTGCAAAGATATAATTAGTAACAATCCAGAAAATAGCTCAGAGATTTACAACTTTCCCAATATTCGTTCTGTTATAACAAGGCAAAACAATTTCTTCCATTTCACAAATTAAAATTAATTCAAATACATCGAATATTCATATTTCTATTGTTAAATAATAATAGAAACATCTTGAGACCAAAGAAAATGAATTAAGACAAGTTGAAGTAACTCGTCATAATCTAACAAAACGCATGGAAGCATTACAAAGTCGTATAATTGTTGGAGGTGAAAATTTATTAGAAAAAGCTGAAATACAAGAAAAATTATTAGAAAAATCAGCAATTGAATTACAAAAACAACAATTACGTGCGGAACAATTACATCAAAAATTAAAAGAAAAAGAAGAAGAACGTATCAATATTGAAGAAAAATATAATAATCTACAGGTAATTTATTCGATGATATGTCTTGAAAAATTTTATGTATGATGAATGGTTTCTTTCATTTGTAAATTTTACTAGTTTCATTTAATAAAAAGATGAACAGATCCGAAGTAAGTGATCTGTAATAAATAATATGTATCTGCAAATATTCTAAAGAACAAACATGATTCAAATGGTAGATTTTTCAAATTGTTAAGACAATAAATACCTCTTTTCTGTTGAACACATTAGAAATCAAGATTGTATGAAATGCTTTAGCTATTCACCCTTCTTCCTTTACAGTTTGAAAAGAACTTTTACATTATTTAGTCTTCTTGTCAGAAACGCAATTTTTTCTATTCATTAGAACATTTCGAATTTAAATATATATCATTTTTGTCATAAATAATATACTCAACTTTAATTTGCATATATCGATTGTTTGAATCTTCCCATTGATGTTCCTTTGGCATATGTGCATCCAGTTGACCGGTCCCAAATAGAATGAAATGCACGTCGTGGATTCCACTGCTAGCCACCATTCATCTCTGATTGAAATCTACCTAATACTTAATTTATTCGGGATTATCAAAGCAAATCTTAATAGTGATATTTAAATAAATAATTTCTTGCTTCAACCTGATAGTATACGGAGCTTGAAGAGATATGCAAGGCATAGCATGTTAAATGATAGTTTTACAAACAATTTTGAGGATAAAAAACAAAACTGATTAGCACATTCAGGTTTTTTTATTTAGAAGCATTTATTTCTTTTAAATTCCTCCCATACATGCTAAATATTAAACTAATCGAATTTAACAGTATAATTGACAGTAGGATAACTGTGAATGTAAACCTTATGTTTAACTGCTCAAATAAAATTACCTAAAATATGATCACCAGTATGTATATTTATTGTTGTAATCATACACCACAAGAAATCAAATGGAAATCCCTCAGACGTCTTAGTTTGCATAATAACCAATCTATATTTTTTTACGAATATATGACGTTAAAATTCTCTCTCTTACGGTTATAACCCAACTATTCCTATTGCTTAGTATTCACGGACACCAATTCACTCGACAAGTCCCCAAATCGCAACACGGTTGAACAGGAAGGAGATTATATTCCAAATAACAAGGTTAGATGGAAGAAAGAAGCACAATAGGAAAACCGTTAGTATATTTATAGTTTTTACATGAAACGATTCTAGAGTCTTCCCCAAGTATCGGCTAGCGCTGATTGGACAAGAATTAGCCAATCAGCGTGCGCCAATGCAAGCGTGCAATGAGCATGATTTAATCCAATCTATGTCCCGCTAACATATGACTTATTTGATAATTAGATCTGCCAATATCAAATTGATGCAACTATGGACAAAAAGTTGTATGTTGAACATCAAGCACTAAATAACATTGTGTAACCTTTAATTGACGATATTCTGTGGTTCTTATCAAAGCAACAGTTTTACACATAGTTTCAGTCAAATGAAGTATTTTAACAGGTAAATCTAAAATAGTATTAAACAGTTCATGTAAAGCCTCTTTGTTCATAAACTTAAATAAATATTAATGTTACCAATAAGTGTTTAATATAGGCATAACTCTCTATATTAACAATTCCTACAAGATTAATTACTTAAAACACCAACTTCCGGAAGGTCATTTTCAATAATTTGTTTTCATACTAACGCTCAGTAGTGATGTGTCATTCATTTGTTTTGATACAACACAATTACCCATTTATATGGAACAGTTCCTTCAAAGAGACGTTACTCACTCAAGAAATAAAGTTTAACATTATTTAGTTGTATAATTTTTAAGCACTTAGCTGTGAACGACAATGAATCGTCTGTACTACTGAAAACCGAGGTTACTAAAAGTGATACATGGCTGTTCAAGATTTTGCATCAAAATATATGTTTGTAATTTACGATATGCTTATCAAAAATTTACTGTCAAATTCGAAAAAACTGACCTTGATAAATACCACTCTAATTGCCAACACAGAAATATAAAATATCCTATGCCATGCTATAAATTCACTCAGTCATCATCAACTCCAGCACAAAGATGTATTGATCTGTCATCACAAGATAATAGAAGGAGAGGATTTAATTTTAAATACAATAGAAAATCTAAACATAAGAGTTACAGTTCGAAACGAATGAGATATAAAATTTATGGATTAAGAATGGTATAACTCAATATTTAGGAAAGGATATAGGATGAATACAACTGAGTTTGATTTTGCACCATGTCATCCAACGTCTCTAACCATTTTTAAGATTGTTGCGCGACATCTTTCCATAATTAAGAAGTCTGTCCCTGTTTTGTACTTCACCTTACACGAATGTTCCCTCTTTGTAGATCTTACAAAATTGTAAGATCGTAATAAATTTAAGAGTACTCCTTCAGCAAAAATTACCTAAACTTATGTCAAGATATAACTATTCACAATTTATTTTCCAACTTATCAGTAGCTTACGGACAACTCCAAATTAGTAAATTGCTAAAAGGTTTGCTTTTTGAGTTATATCTAATGTAAATAGCGACTGAATTCATTGGCGAATATTCATGCAAATGATTCAGTTCATTTGTATGAATGGCTCTATCCATACCAATCATCGTAAGCAAATGTTTAGTACGCATGCAAATCTCTTCGACTTAATTATGTAAGGTTTAATTATTTGAACGATTGCACAGTATAATACAGAAGAATAAACATACTAAATTATTTTAGAATTATGGATAGCTTTTTGACCATAATATTCAGATCACCTGTTTTGTTAATGTATGTAATATTAAGAACTACAAATACAAGTACTTCATGTAGTTATTTGAATACTATACTTATATTTGCACATTATAGTTGTGAGCAATTATGAACACTGGCTGTGACTTTCTTTGACAATCTAAAGTCCTCAGACTTAAATTACTGAAAATTGTCAAATGATTTAACTCGTAACTGCCTCTGATTGATATTTATTACTTCCTATATACTTTACATTACTACACTTGTAATTACTGGTTATTCTACTAGTATCAAACTCAGAAAACTGAGTGATTCAATTATTTAGGTTTCAGTAACAATGCAAAATTAAATCATTCCATTAGTCTTCACCTTCAACTGTCTTTGAAATATTGATATGGGTTGAAGCCTTTTATTTCCCTTAAAGCTTAACTCAGAATTTGCTGAGTAGAATAATACTACGTCTTGTGCTATGTTAATCGAGATATACTGATCATTTTTAATTTTTGTACATGATCATAAACAACAGACTATTTACAAAAAACCTGTTCTCACCTGTCTTTTGTTCAAGGGAAATGAGATCGCAGGAACAATAGATGGGAAAATCAAAGTGACATTGAAAAGCTTTCCTACGGCTGAATTGGTTCATATATATATATATATATATATATATATATATATATATATATATATATATATATATATATATATATATATATATATATATATATGACTGTTTGCAACTGATAGGAAGTCGCGCGATAAAGAGAATCCATTTTATTCTGAAAACTTTTCTGTATTTCTCCTATTTAAAACTTATAATTAACCTCACGTAGCATGATTCGCGGCTAAATGAAAGTCCATTTCCATTTTGTGTTAAAGGACAATCACTACTATTTATTATATAATCAGATAATTCAAATCCAGGTAACATCAAATAGAACAATGTTAGCAACTACGGGCTGACTACCTCACGTCATTGAATTACTAACGGAAACTGCCCTAAGGTATTATGTTCTTTTAATGACAGTTCTGATTCCTGGTTTGAAAGTATTTGTCATTTTTTTCTTGTATAAATATTATTTTTATAGGATGCTATGATTTTTTACTTAATCTAGGAAGAAGCTGCCGGGAAGCGTAAAAAATTACGTAAATTAAGTACAATATATTTGCAAGCCAAGTCGGAACTTGAAGATATGAAAAATGAACACGCTCGTGAAATGGAAGGCTTAGTAGATAATATACGTCAATTGGAAAGAGAATTGGCTCGTTATGCTCTAATTATCGATCGAGTTATTCCACAACCATACCAGGTAATTAATGAAAGGAGCTATTTTGTTGCATTTATATTTATTTCTCAGATAAACACATTCTATGATAACGAGGTAACGCTAGAACAATTTTGTAATAAAATCTCGGATTTTATATTAGTCACTACACCATAATTACTGTTTGAGGACTAGCAACATTACCTGTAATCAACTATTGTTTGAAACTAATGAAGCTAGTAGACCCCCGTGAGTTTTCTTGAAATTCGAAACCATTTTAGGCATAATTAGTTAATCATGTATTAATTTGGACAAGCAAATCAACTTACTTATTGATTAGAAAACATTAGTGAATATCTAATGTATCAGAACTGATAAATTTTACACAGAACAACAAGATAGTTGAAATTAAAATGCTTACATCCAACATGGGTTCTTATGATTAGTTTCTAGAGATTATCTTAACTAGATCTTATCAAAGTGCTAATTATTTTTTAAATGACTGATTCCATGTTATTACTTTATTTTTATAAAGAAATGATGTTGGAATAGTTCCAATTAATAAGTAGTATGATTGAAGGATACAAAAAGTAATATGTTCTTTATCGTCGCTTAAATGAAATTGTTTAAATTCTTTAATTCATCGTCTAGCTATTTTTCCAACTTTTTTAAAACTTACGATGCAAATTAGTTATACCATAATGAGTGTATTGCAATTCTCTACACAGTAACTATTGGTTGTTTAGTACAAAACCTCAAATAAGCTGTAGATCAAACTTAATATTTGACAGATAAGATCTGGTGGCTTACTCCCTTGGATATGGAGATTAGTTTGAAATAATGTAAGGAGTTACAGTCAAACACTTGTATAAAAAAGCCTTAGAATTTCTAAATCTTAACTACATGTTTACTAACAACCAGAATTTGATTATTTTAGATTGTATAAACCAAACTATAGATAAATACAATTGCTTATAAATAAGGCTCTACCACTGGATATGATTATATTCTTTGTGTATTTTAAAGTAGTTTTAAAATATAATAATAGTACCTAAGTTCTGCTTAGCTTCATTTATTAGTTGTGAATGAGCATCTTAAAGATTGGAAAGCTATCTTCACTGAAAAAGAGCCAATTCGATGATTCGTCAGCTACCCTCCAGAAAAAATAACTTACATAAGTATTATATTATCTCCAATAACTCAAATATCATATTCTGATATAATACTGTAAGTTACAATCATGTTTTCAAACAATCAAAGTGTATTTACTGAAAGCAAAAACAAATTAATAGTCCAAACGACAGTTGAATCACTCATCTTTAGCTTACAAAAAGGACATTTATCTGCAATCAGTAAATCAAAAATTAAAAGTTACACAGCCGACAGCACTTTAATCTTAACAATATTCAAATGTTAAGTTCCTTTGTTGACTCATATTTCAAGAATATGACTACAAATCAATCAAAATTCTGTTAGTTTAGTAACAAATTAGAAACACTTGGAGATGTGAAACTACTGTTCTCATATATTAAAAAAAAACCATCAATAGTGTAACGGTGGATAACTGAACATTCAAATAATACGATATAATTGACTTCAAGTGTTCAGATTAAGGAATCTGAATAGCGGACCACGATGAATAAAACAAGTAAAAGTTATTTAGAAAAGAAATAAATCAAATAGAAATAAGATTCCTTGCAGCCATAACAGAATGATGTATATTTCATATGGTGGGAAAACATCATACTGGAAATGTAATCTATAATTCATCCATGAAAGTTGAATCTACTCGTTGTTAAAACCAGAGAATATAACTGATAAGTCTGTTTTGAAATGAGTGCAGTCTGCGAGCGCCTGGATATTGCCATCAAGTGATTAACATTTTTAAGCAAAGTTGGACAGTGGCTAGCAGTGGAATCTAAGACAAGCGTTTCGTCCCGTCTGGGATTTGTCAGCCGTGTGTGTGCACAAGCGGATAATGTGTTTAATGTTTGGAGCAAAATCCACTGAGTTCGAGTCCTGGTTTTAACATTAACACCGTGATTCATGCACATCTAACGGACAAATTCCGAAAAGGACGAAATGCGCGTCCTGGATCCGACTACTAGTCTATACATAGCTTTGCTTGGAAATGTAATCGTCTAGATATATAAAACTACTTGTATTGTGACATGAGTACATCTAAAAGCAGTAGAAAATGTCATGAGGTTTTTTTATGTACAATACTGAACGAAAAGTTTGTCCACTTCATCTCAACCATTGAGGCTTATAAATCTATATTCAAACAAAAACAAAAACAGATGTGATAGATCCCCGAGTTAGAAATCAGCTCTATATTTAAGCATGTTTTTACATTTAGTTTTCAGTAAGTAAGTAAGTAAGTTTCTTTATTCAACTCGAGTACATCACATATGGGAAGCATTCAAAACTTTTTTCTTTTTATTGATTTAGTAGAACGAGCAATTGTAACATACATTCACCAGGCCGAATAAGTGTTTTGACATAAAATTCCCCAATATTTTGCAGTGCTATCACTTGCGACCAAATTAAACGTTATATGAAGCATAAACGAATGACAGAATACATATTTTGTATTTCAGGCTCTCATTGAACAAAATGTACAGTGGAACGAAGATATAGGTGAATGGCAATTAAAATGCGTAGCATACACAGGAAATAATATGCGAAAACCTGAAAAGCAAACACCTGAACCTGTAAGTTCCAAACTTTTATTTTCCTTTAGCAACTTAAAAGAACACTGACTTATTGTAACTATCAGTTCAGAGTAGTAACAAACTGTCACTTACATGCATCTCTTTAATATAAAGGAACATAATTGATAATTTAATTCACTTCAACTACTTGAAATATACAGTGATGATTAAATTACGTCTACAAGTAAAAATGGAGCATAATTATTCTAAAAAAAAAAGGAATGATTTCCGTCAAGTAATACACCTATACCTGTTTATTGAACTCTCTTCATAAACAAGCAGGACATCTGTATAATTTAATAAAATAGACCTTCTGAAATTGACAACCGTCGTAGAAGAGACTGTTGAATAGCCAGAAATGTGACTAATGAAACTGAAGATCTAATGTATACAATATAATTATGTCATAACACCCCTAGTTCTTCCACACACCCAAGACAAAAATTGAGTGACTATTCGGGTTGGCACTTCCATTATTTAGTCAAACCGATTTGCACAATCCTAAACTGGAAATTATGTTCTTACTAGTGACTATAGCTTTGAGAAATTTCCGGAGTTCCAGTGAAAGCCTTGACCAGAGCGGCTAAACTATGTCAGGTGTGTGGAAGGTACCCACTGAAGGCAATGGAAGATGATCAAAGCCAGACTTACAAAACATTGAATCCCGACTGAGTTGCCTAGAGGATAAGCGCTCACACATGAGACCGAAGGTCCTGGTTTTAACCATGTGTGATGTGGTTGTGAAGTAACAATAATTAATGTCACTCGATGACAAAACGGCGGTGCAGTAATTCCATATGTTAGTAGCTGTGTGAATTAGATCGGTTTGTGACTTTAATGAAACTAAACAATCCCGAAGCTCATTTCAATATATCACAACAATTGGCCATTTTACGAATTCAGAATAACGTCCTTGTTAACCACAAATCCTTCCACTCAGAATTACTACCTAGTCAAAGTGCAAATAATAAGAACTTTCACTCCAGTCATAAAATTTTTACTGTAAGTTGGCGCTCTATTATGCTATTGAACACGATGTTAAAACATACTTCACTATATCAAAAGTGGAACAGTTTACTTGATTGCATTATCTGAATGCTGACGTTCCGTCGATCACTAACCAAGAGAAGTCAACGCAATCGAAATGACCGTTATAATTAGTCACATCTCACCACTTTTAGGCGATGCTTTGTCATAAGTAATCCTCGAAACTTTACTTCACATTTGATAACATAAAGCAATTCACTTTTTATCTCAGTCCAAACAAATTCAGTTTTGAAACACTCAGGTTGAACGACCGTTCTGCTTGAATTTTATAGTGTATTTACCAACCCACACAAATGCTCTTAAACGATGAAAACGAAAAGCCTTGACACCACGAATAAGTACGTCAGTGGATGTTTAGAGGTTAATTTTGAACCGGAAACCCGGTGATCGTGATACTGTGCCTAGCATAAAATTATCAGATTTTCTAAGCATTGATATTTGGATACAATATCACCTTTCTAAGCTTATCATAACCCTTTGACACAGAAATTATGCAGTCTAGGATTAACCGCGATCGCCACGAAACGTAGTATGAAACAGAACGCGATACTTGCTCTTTAGGTTACCTTAGTGGTTCACTTGACACAAATAAATCATGGTCATCGGGATAAGCTTTGAGACAAACAGGGACAATGGGGGTATAACCTCTCGATAATGTGGTCATCATAATGCTACCTACTTCAAAAAAACAAGTCGGACATTGAGAACAGGAATACGAAAATATACAAGCACTACGGTAGACTATCAAGACACGGAAATGAGACCCAATGAAGCCACCACATTGACATCATGATTCTAAATAAACCTATTTTAGGTCTACAACTGCTATTCGCAAGTACATCCCCAATCTCCAGATTAGTTTGGTTTCACCGAGTTGTTCCGGGCCATCTGAAATGTTGTCTGTTTGTCCGCAATCTATAAGCAGAAACGTGTCCAGTTAATATCGGATAGTACGTAATAGTCATCAGTCGTGAGGAAATAAACAGTCGTCCGAACACAACTAGCTAGAAAGCTACCAAAATGTATCGTTAGCAGGAAAGAAATACATACCAACACAAAACAGCCAAAAATTGCGCTGACAGCGAGTAGACCCAAAACCATCCAATTTGCAATTCCTACCGTACCTCCGAAACCCAACTGAGCTGTGTATCGTCAACAAGCGCTCTAACAAATTACACATCAGACTTATGGATGCGGGTCGCAGACAACATATGTAGTCGCCACCCGCAACCCTAAAGAGCTGCGGCAACTACTTAACTCACAGCTGAGTAGAAATCAGTTACGTTATATAGACAGGAGACAATTTACTCCCCGAAATTTCCTTTGTATCATCATTTTATATTACTGTTAATATTCATAATAAACACTAACATATCACTGCTTCCTGATTTTTCGTTTACAGCCCATCGATCTCGCACACGTGTACCTGACATATGCGGACACAGCGAACTCAGAACTTCTCCAGAAAACTAAATCAACTAAAAAATAAAACCACTTCCCTAACAGTTGGTCTTTATTTTTCTGCTCACACATAACTGCTACATCTCAAAGAAATCCACACATGACTAACTTAACTGAAGAGCACTAAGTAACTACTTCAAGGTTGACTACAGTAACAATACAGCGTGCCCTAACTGGCAAAAAACCAGCCAATATTACAAACGCGGTGCATGAGCTAGTCCTCTAGGGGAATTGATGGTCAAACTTATGAACGAGCCAGCCCACTGTTTAGATAAAATCAAGTGCACTTCATAGGAAAACCAACGCGCGACCACTTAACGAGTGATAGTTGTGAAAGAAAAGCATTTATTTCAAGCAAATCTATTGTAAGACAAAGCAGGACGAGCGAAAAGTATTTTCTTTCCACGTCTTCTGGTGATATCCATCTGGAATTTTAAAAAATGTTGATTAGTTATGCACGTAAGAGTATTCTACAATCAGATGAATTACTGTCATCATTTGTTCAGACGGTAACTCCATAAAACATCATTAAACAAAACCTACCTAATTAGCTTTCGCGATATTATCTGACACCATGCACGACAAATGACCAGGTATTAAGTGCACAAACATCAATCCTTGACGAATCCAGATGTTAGGTAAAATTCATTTTTGACGGCAAAAGATCCTGCAACATGTAGAATCTCAATCAGTTGAGTACAGAGCAATCAATTAAATCAGTTAAGTCTTTGTCACCATTTAGTCAGACGGTAACTCCGAAATCATCACAAAAGAGAGACTTACCGTATCCTGATCACGCTTTCAGAAACAGTTCTTTTCGGCATGACAATCCAATTGTAATGGTCATTATGTTGAAGGCTCAACTACACGAGTTTCCTCAGTGCTAGATACACAGATAAAGGAATTTGTCAGTTATCAGCTCTCATAATCGATATCATGTCACAAAAACCAATAACTAACAGTGAACACTGTACAAACATGAGTTTGGCTGCTTGTGAACAGTAACTCATTTTGTCACTGAAGGCCAAGCACTGCGTTGGTAACCCATTCAAAAACCACTAGGGTTAGTCCAAGTATGGAAGCCTAACCCCATTAATTTTCGACAGCTTATCAACACAACACTTGTACTTACTCACAGTTAGTTAGTAGGTCTCGTTCGTTTCATTGGTCTCTTGTCATCACACTTACCATGGCGCAGTACAACTGACTAACACGTCGACAAACACTCAAACGCTAGTTGTGCATTCAAACAAAGAACCTTCATTTTCCAATCTTTACTGAATGACTTCCAATACTTATTCTATAGCAATCACCCAGTTGTCTTCATATTAATTCGAAGAGGCACCGGAATACCTGTGAAAACAACAACGGTCCGTGACGACTCTCTCATAATCATGAATCTCATAGACAATCTTGACCTTCCTCTCAGTTTTCAGGACAAAAACGACAGGATGCCCTGGGGTGAACTGAACGAAAAGCTCGAACTTCCTAGAATAGAGCCTTTGACGGTCACACGGCTCACTCGGGGAAAGGAATATAAACATCAAAATCATCCGAGACTACCTCGTGTAACACTCAAGAATGCTAACGAAGTAGAGGACGTCCTGATAGCTAGTCATCTACTGAAATCCAATGGGAACGTCAGAATACTGTCCGACATACTGTATTCTGAGCGCAATCTCATCTGGAACGTCCCTAAAGATTCTCGAAAGAAGTTTTTTCGCGGAAGAAATATCATCGTGCAAGATGTACCGGAAAACATGGACACTGGTCAAGCAAACTCTGACATTCGGGAATGGAAATTCATCAAACAGTCCTTGAGGCTCAAAAACATACTGACTCAGCATGTGATGAGACTAGCCAAGAAGGACGGGGATCCTAGACCCCGACTAATGAGAATAACTTTTCCATCCTTCCATATGGCGGCTGCAGCTCTGGAAGCATTTCGTGTCAACAGACGTCGGTTGCCAACTGGGATCCACATGCACCCAGACAGGCCATATGACGCCAGGATCAGGCACAAAGGCAATCTGGAGCTGACCATTCCACTTGTGGACTGTCTTCAAGATAAAAAAACGTGTAAAGGACAGGGCCTACCAATTCGACAAAACTTGTATAGGTGAGTTACCTGTCCACTCACGTAAGGCTCTCACAGACAAACAGGAAGAAGCTCGCGCGTTTCAAATTGAAAGTATTAACTGCTTATACATGAACGCCGCGAGTCTGCCAAATAAAATGGATGAACTACGTGAACTTAGCAATGCTAATAAGGTTCATCTGATAGGAATATCTGAAACCTGGATATATTCTCAGTTTTCGGACCACGAGCTAGCAATACCTGGGATGTCTCTGTTTCGCAATTACAGAAAAACAGGAATTGGGGGTGGAGTAGCTCTATACATACGATCTGGCTTGGAGGTACACCAAGCTCACAACCATGAGTTTGACAATCTTGAGTAATCCATATGGTGCTCTATGAGATTGTCCACTACTTCGAGGTGCCTAGTCGGAGTCATATATAGGAAGCCCACTGCCGACATCGAGTATGACAGTCGTATGCTGGAAGGACTATCCCGCTCCAAACGTCTCGGTTTCACTCATATCCTGATTCTAGGAGACTTCAATCTCCCTAGAGTCAACTCCGCAGAACATACGTATATTGGAGGTGAAAATTCAATCGAAGCTCGGTTCTTCAACCTCATTGAGG